TTATAAATAATAGATTAATATTCTTTTCGTAATTGGCAAAGTAAAGGGTATTTACTGAAATCGCAGAATTTGCTTTAATAAGGTAAAAAAAAAAAAAAAACAAATGTCGATATGGTACTCAAGCGGTTTTTACGTGAAACCTTAAAATACAGTGTATCATCATTATAACTGTACAATAAAATACTGTAACTATCATGGGCACCCTGTCAAGAAGTGCAGAAAAAGTAGCAATTTTGAAGGAAATCGATTCCAGTTAATAAATGTTACATAATAAAAAAATAGTTGAAAACAATTGTTGTAAAATTAAAAAAAAGTTTAAATGTTAAAAAAAAAATTTTCCTAAGTGAATTTTTTTTTGGTTTTTATAAAAATTATGGGTACGCAGTTTTTTAGCATGCAGACGTGCTCGCAATATCGGCGAAAAAAAAATTATAAAAATCAACGTGACCTCTTAGCCACTTGCAAATTGCACTTTATTACACTAAAATCTAATGATCTATAAAATTGCATACCCAATATTTTTCTAGAAACTCTGTTTTTTAATTTTGGTGAACTTTTTTTGTATAATAGTTAAAATTTTTCGTGTGATTTTTTTTCGTTTTGGGGAAACCATACAATTGTTTTCAACTAGTTTTTATTATCTAACATTTATTAACTGCAACAGGAGAAGCGATTATCTTCAAAATTGCTACTTTTTATGCACTTGTCAAGAATAGAAAGCGACTTTTAGCCAGAGTCCCCTAATAGGTATCTCTCTGTAAAGCGCAAGTGTAGACAAAATCGATAGGTTGTGCATTTTGTACAGCATCCCCAGAGGTAGCCCTAGTCGGCTCAGGATTGCACTATATAAACATCTTAGCTAAAAAAAAAAAACCAAGTTTTGTGTGGATTCTTCTCTATTACCGGTATGACTATATTACTAGTGAGCCAACTAATGGCCAAAATTAAATTTAGCATTTTAAACAGGTGGCAACCCTTTTCACAGTTATGAGCGGTCCTTGTGTCAAATTTCGTCTTATTCCGTCCAGCCGTTTTTGAGTGGATATAAGTGTCGCAAATCACCCTGTACCGATAAAAAATTTTAATTTCACAAAATACATTTTTTAATTTGGCATCTCTTTTTAAAATTCGTGCTAAACTGATGACTTCCATAAATAATTTCTTCGTGTAGGTGGCAACCCTAATTAAAAGTATTTTCAAACTAACAGGTCTATTCTGCGCTGGTAGTAAACATTTTATAACCGGTAAATATAGTTTAAACACTTTTCGCATTTAGTGTACTCTTGTTACCGGTAAATTTTGTTACCATCTCATAAGCTGAACAAAGTGTTGCCCCGTGAAATATGCAATGCCAGAATTTCCACAATTTGTCATAGCTGAATTGCTGAATATTTTAACTGCATTACCAACGGACCTAGAATCGCGGTGGCAAGAACTGGTAACATTTTTTTGGTAACAAAATTTGCTGGTTACAAAATCTTAGGTAACGTGCAGAATAGACCTGCAAAGCTTCCATAAAACTCCTTCGTTTGGCACTCTTATTTAAATATATCATATACATACATATGTACATATCTTGTGCGTAAACTAACTGAATTCGACCTTTCAAACAGGTGGCAACCCTTTTAAAAATATTTTTCAAACTAAAATCTTCTTAAATCTTTTTCGTGTGTTTCAATTAACTAATGAATTAGGTTGAATTTGATTTTTAAAATACGTGGCAACCCTCTTAAATATAGTTTGAAAATAAAACCTTTCCATACCCATTTTTGGATTGATACACATCTTTTAAAAACTCACTGAATAATAATAATTTGAATTGAACATTTTAAAACGGTGGCAACCCTCTTAAAATACCTCGAAAATATTGTAAATGTTGGAATTGGTTACTGCTTACTACTCATTTCCTTTGATACCCATATTTAAATATCTCATAAACTTGTGCATAATTTAATTAAACGTTATTTAAAATATGTTCAAACTAAAACTTTCTTATTCATTCATTCATTTCCACCAAGCATTAACTGCAGTTAATGCCTATTGGATATAGGAGATTATAACTCGAAGTAAAGCAAACGGAAGTATACAAGCGAGAAGTAAGAAACAAACCTTTCCGATCACCCCTTGTTAAAATTTGTGGAATTAAGCTTCAGAGCTGAAACATGTGGCAACTCTTCTAAGATTGTAGTTCCATTTGGATTTATATCCATCTTTTAATAATTCATTAAGCTTACTGAATATTTATATTTTTAAACAGGTGGACACTCTGTTCAAACACCTCAAAATATTTTATACTTATTTTCAAACGTAAAGATTGCCATTCTTTTGACGCCCATACTTAAGTATTTCATTTAAATTGTGTATAATTTAATTAAATTCGACTTTTCAAACAGGTGCAGCTCTCTTCGAAATATTTTCAAAGTTAACGCAACAAAAATTAAAGTAAGCGATTGGAAAACTATTCGAAATCTAGTGTGTTTCTCTAAGGCAAAAGGTTAGAAGACGATTAGAAAAACTGTCGTGAATTATAGCATTCTGTACGAAAAGGGGAGTTGGTTCTCGATATCGAGAAAAAAGTTGCATATCTAATCGTGTTCTAACGTTGAATTCTAATTGGTTTCAAATGTCTAGTATTTTCTTAATTATTCTCTAATATTAAATTCTGACATATTCTCTAACCTGATTTTCGATTCGAGAAACCATATTTATTTACAATAGAATTCTAATGTAAAATCAAAACATTTCTCTAACGTTAGATTCGGTTTGCTGGGCAAACCTTTTTAAATCTCATACGTCTGACACCAAAATATTGTGAACCATATCTCAATTACCTAAACTGAATTTTATTTATCCAAACCATAGCTACAGTTATGCTAGTTTTGTCAATCACTCATCCATCATACTTTTCTCGCAAGAAAATAGCGGTCGAAATTATATGTGTGGGTCTGAATATTGTAATGGGTAATATCTACAAAGCCAAGAGAATTATCTCTAATCAATTACTAATTTCTGTGTATTGTAATTATTATTGTATTAGTATACAAAATTACCATCTAGCCCAATAAGCAACAGTACATTTGCAGCGTAGCGGCCATATAATCAATACTAATGAAACTCCAAATACGAATGGTCTACAATTACCTACAAAAATTAATGCTTACATACGTTTCCCTATAACCGCCTTACGAACAAAGAGTTTTATTATAGGCTCAGTGTGACACGGCGTATACGCAACAGAAGTTCGATCAATGCTTAGTAATGCTGTTGCCGACCGCTTGCTGCGATAGGCTGAGGTATTTACATATATGTACATATGTACATAAGTATATACATACACATGGGTATGCGGTACACATGTGACATGTACTTACATCCATACATATGTATGCTGCGTAGAATTCTATGCTATTCTATGCTCCGATGACCTGACCCACTTTTCCTTGCTCACTACAATCGTCAGCACCGTCAGTCGCAAAATTTCATGTTTCACTTCTGATTTTAATTGCATTTGCTACATTTGTACGTATGGCGTTGCTTTTCACCTCTTTTATTTTCGATTACTTAAATCTTTTAATTGATTTGATTGGAATTTTTTGTTCCATTTAATTAATTTTTATTGCTTCTTAGAACAACATAAACGAATTTTCTGTAATTTGATTGCACTCAATTGAAAGTGTTCAATCGAAATGGTATTGAAAATACTTTATTTTTAAGCGACATATAGCAGTGCTGCCACCTGTTTGAAAATAGAAAAATTTAGCTTAAATTATGGAAATTAGGTGATTCGAATAGATTGTATTACCATGCATTTATCACAATATGGGTGTCAAATCAAAAAGGTTTAAGAAGGTTGCCACCTGTGTAAAAAGTTAAATTCAGATTATTTAATAATTTGAATGAATTATTACAATATGGGTATCAATAGAAATGGGTTTGAAAAGTAGTCATTTCTAAACTACATGTACGAGGGTTGCCATCTGTTTAAAAACTAAATTCGGCTTACATTCAAGGAAAAAGTTAATTGAAAATATATCACAAGAAAGATGTTGAAGAAAGTTTTAGTTTGAAAATATTTTGCATGGAGCTAAAAAAAACTTGAAAATCTCCTATGCTTTTGGCTGAGTACGTTGAAATTTCATACACTCTGTGAAGCGGGTTACCACACCAAAGGGAGTAAGCACTCCTTCATTTCATTTATTTCTCATTGTAGGAGATCCCGCTTAAAGTTCTAGTTCTAGCTAAGTTTTACGTCCGATGAACCAAACACATCTTCAACGTAGCTGGAATATCTTTGAAACTATTCGTCTATTCGTCGTCAATTTTTATACTCACTCTGCGATTATTGCCGAAACTATTTTGACGACCCAGAGACTCTTCAGTACTGTACTCTTTTTGAGTTTGTGATGATGATAGACTTGGAATATTTGTAGCGACCGCTACTTGCGATTTTGTGGAACTCATAATCACAGTTCATTTAATTGAATTCTGCAAATAGAAGCATGAAAAAAAGTTTAATTAATTTGTGCAAAAAAAAAAATACAAAAATCTTAAATTACTTAACAAATTAAGTCAAAAGTTATAGAGTTTATATTATTACGGCATAAACACAGCAAGTAGTATATAATAATTTACCTCAGGTTGAATTACTGCATTTTTACAACCAACCGACTGTTCGATATTGTTTGTGATAGTAAAAGGAAATTCTTAATTAGTAAACCATACAACACCGACACACCCATTGTTTTTAGCAAGAGCACGTAGTAGAACTCTGCGGCTGTTATCTTTGCGTAGTTGGTTTTGTTTATTTTTTATCTTTCAGATTTAGGAATTTATGGAAACAATTTTGAATTTAAAAACATTTTCTCAATGAATTGGCAGTGCAGCGTACAGAAGAATTGGATTTTGTACACAAAAGATTTCAATGAACATTTTTAAGGTTTTTTTTTTTTGGATTTTGGTGATTGGATGTTGGTTTTTGGTTGTATTTTTTTTACACTTATTTTTTTGTTTTTTGTTTTTGTTCTTATTCACTGGAGTATCTCCAAAATCACAATTTTAAAAAATATTCGAAAAGGTAGCAAATTTCATAAATGAACACAAGTCGAAAACTATTTTTTTTTTATTTTTTTCAGGAAATGTAGACATTTTTATTTCACGAATGCTGACCAATTTATAAAAAAGTCACTAATAAAGTCTATGTAGTAAGTATTTTTGTATGTAAAATTTAAGATTTTATACAACTAGTATAACTATTTAATTATTTTTCTCTGCTGTGTTCTTGGGGGAGAGGGAAATTCTTATCACAATAGCGCATCACCACAAATTACAACACTGCGTTTACGTATACAAGTTTTTGGGGTTGTAATTTCACTTAATTAAAGCTTACGTTTTTTGGTTTATATTACACATACATATAATTAGTTTTATTACTTTTTTTATTGGTGTACTTTGTTTTTGCAAACATACATAGTTCTTCATGCACAGCTTTGTTTTTATTGTAGCTCGAGAGCACCCACGCTTGTCGATTGGCTAAAACTACAATGCCAGTTAAGTAATCTGGAATTCACAATGAGTAATAATAAATCAATAAAAAGTGTTTCAATTTGTTTAGCTGATAGCAAAAAAAAAACAGCGCAAAAGCAATGCAACTTAGTCAGATAGGCTTCTTGTAGAGGGCCATCGATCATCGGTATTGAGCTTGTGCTCGCCTGCGAATCTACACCAAAATTGAATTAATAAAGTGTTTTTGCCGTTCGGGGATAAAGTGACAAAGGTATGTATATACACAAGTAAGAAAGAAATAAGTGTGTAATAAAAATCCAATATAATAGGCAATGTAAACATACGACGCCAAAGGGTCTACATACACATAGTGATTGAGCAGCCAACCCAAACGCCACTACTCCAGGCTACGAACGAATTGCAAAGCCCACAAATCAACCAAAATCGTTTGGTGCTTTGGAGCTGCCCCACCCATCAAAGCAGGTGGAAATTTTCACAATATTGTTTTTTTTTAAATATTTTTTTTTTTACAGTTGCCTTTGCTCGTTTGGCGCGTGTGTACATATTTACATATATTGGTATTTAACACACATTGACATTGAATATTAAGGGAAATTGTGGTAGAAAAATTCCATGAAATCGCAAAGTGCTGCGCGCACAATAAGTTACATATGTACATACTAAATATGCGCCTAAATACACATATGTATGTACGTACAGTAGGGTGGTCCAAATAAACTAAACCACAATTTTACTGCTCTCAAACAGTAGGATTATTTTATACCGAAAAAATATACCCCTGTTTTTATGAATAAAAAAATATTTAGAGGTCGCTCAAAGTTTTCCACGTATTTTTTATGGAGAAAAAATATTTTTGGTAGAAATGGCACAGAATACTTGGAAATCCATATTTTTCAATTGATAAACTCTGTTTCACACCAGAAGGCTTTGTGAAACTTTTTGACCGCTTTAAGCAACCACTAAATAATTTTTGTAAAAAAAAATATACCCCATATTTTTTCTGCTATAAAACAATTATAGTGGGTGCAAGCATAAAAATACGACTACACTATTTTCGTATAAATTTTTAGACCACCCGAATGTACATATGTATGTATGTGTATACAAAAATGTGTGCTTTTCTGTAGAGGAAAATGAAAAATGTACATATATATGTAAAAGCTCATAGCACAAAGGGAAGCTAAAAGTTTGGGTTTGTGTTGTTTTGAAGAAACACGCTGCTATAAATTTCGCATAAAAGAAATTTTTGGACATGAGGGTGTATAGCTGATGTGTGGTGGGCGAGTGCAAAATACATATTTAATCACTTCCGCTAGTAATATATAGAAGCGCAAGTACGCACGTAGCAGTATATATATTAGGGACAGCCTTATTTAAATTGCATATATTTTGATTTGTAGGATATTGTGCACTTTATTTCGAATACAAAATTCTTGCCATTTCTTTACACATGCTATCTTTGTTTTTATTCGTCGCCCGAATTGTTGTGTCAGAAAATTAGCGATATGTGTGAGTTGTAGGTTGGCTTGTAAGGCAGAAAACCGTTCAAAACATGGCTCAAAAATCAAGTTTTACTATCGATTAGCCCAGATCTATATCTAATAGATAATAAGATCGGGGTGAGGCAGCCTATAATAATGTGGTACCATTTAAGGATTGGGAGAACGGTGAGAGGTAGAAAATTTAAGCATGCCCACAGTAAAGTCCAGCAAGCAACGTATGTATGTATATCTCGTTCTCTGGCATGGAAAGGCCTAGAAACAGATGATGAATTGATTTTATTGCATAGTCTTCCATGCAGATGCTTCAAATCGGCTTGAGATGACGTCGAGCCTTCCGCATAGATTCCAAACGGATAATGGCTAGTTAAGTCGCTTACCACCATGCAGAAAAAAATTATCAACTGATTAAAATAACCAACTTCTAGTTAGCTTTTTTGCGGGATTCCAATATCTATCTTTGAACTGAAAGATCTAGCCAACAAAGTTTTCGTCGAGCTCTCGCTAAGCTTTCCAACAGAAGACGAAATGTGACCAATGGAGCTCCGACTTCATCTATCAGGCGACTACTCTTCAAGAGTGTCATGGAGGCCTTCATCGGCCGTGTAGTTTCCTACAACATCGCTATGGCCTGGAACGTAATGAGCTTGATAGCAAAGCTTTTTGATGCGATCGAAAGGGACAATTTTCTAGTGTTGCATCAAAGATCCAAGAATCCTAATTGGTGTCGAAGCCTCAGTGCCGAAAAAATGCTTATTTCTTTTAAATTTATTCGACATACAAAAAGCTAGTTATGCTAATTTAACTAAATCTCACAACGAACAATATCTAAAACATAGATGAATATGAGACTTTCGCGAGAAACCGATATTGGTAACCCTTGACCTCGAGTAACGTTTCTATCCTTGCATGAAAAGATATGGCCATTTGGTATATTAAATACGACCACAAAAGGAAAATTCTTAGAAAAATAGCGATATTTTCCAAAGTTCGGCCTTTTTAGAGTTTTTGGCATAGACCTAACCAACCAATTTTCAATCATCAAAAAGTTCGAAATGTTTCATCCCTTCGTAAGTGATCTGCAGCTTTGCTAAACAAATCATTTAGTATTAATAATTTATTTGTACACACACACACTTACATTTGAGTAGCAAGTTGCCTTCCCACCACATCGGCGCGTGCGATAAGCAACAAACGTCAAAACGTGCCAAATGATGGGGAAATACCCACAAACACCTGAATGCGCCGCCAATTGAAGAAATCTGTATCTTTTACTGACAGCTCATGGCTTGCGAAAAGTTTTCGCACACAGGTGACTTGTAAATATGTACATATGTATGTATGTAACTACTAGTTATAGACGGGTAAACAATGCACAACGATTTACAAAAAATATTAAACAAATACAAATAGTTGCATATATACAATGTAAGTACATATATATACATATGTACACATGTATGTATGTTTTTAGATACTTCAATACATATGAATTAATTTCTACCTACATAAACAACAACGACATACATACCTATAAAAAAATGAAACCAATGATTTGCAACAACAGCTGCAAGGTAGCGCATTCAGGCAGGGGGAACAGCGATTATTAGTGGTTTTATGCAAACCACATGCAAATACATACACACACGTATTTATATAGTACACACATATGTACATACAAACCCACTTGTATGTACTAGTATTTTGCTTATACATAGTTCCATAGCCAAAGGCGGCAAAAAAGGTGAAGTTCGAGAAATTTGGGGCAAAATTGTTGTACACGAGAGTGGCGACAAAAATCGCGGTGACCACGAAAGAAAACAGCAACAGCGACATAAAATACCATCACCAAAGAGTAAAGGAAAAGGTACCTTTACGATTTTTGTTAGAGAGCGAAAAAGAGAGTGTTCACATAGAACATACAAAATACATACTTACATATGGATGTATGTAGTACTTTGTGATTTTTACGAATAAATATTAAGAAGCAAGAAAATTGAAAAGAATGATACAAAAGTAAAATATTGTGGATGGTATATATGTATGTACGTAGAATTCTACATATGCACATACATATGTATGTATTTATGTATGTACAAATAATATAAACAGGAAATTTCTTATAGCAGAGAACTTCCTGTGATGTACGGTAAATTATTTGTAAGCAAAAGAGAGGATGCTTCCTAGCAAGGAAGCTTAAACAGTACCTATCTGAATTTGGATATGGGCAAATGCGAGTGTTTTATTCAAAAAATTTGTATGGCATAAGGGCAGGTTTAACCCTTTGTTGTTGTAGTTGGGTGGGGCTAAAACTTTTTTGACGGCGTATTAGTGTTCGCTTATCCTTAAATATGAACTGGTATAAAATTTGAAGGTATCTGATTTTTGGTTTTGACTGTTACGAAATTTTGCACAGTTATCGTTAACGGTAAAATTTACCGGAGGTCTGTGTTCACGAAAACATTTACATATATAATTTGATTTGATAAAGCTGGTTAAAACATTTTTATATAAATATATATGTTTTTTTTTGTTTTTGTTGAAGGATATGGAAATGGATGGTGGAAGTTATCGTGGACCTTCTAAAAGAGTTGAATTTAGTGACATGATTTTTGTAGTAACTATTGAAATAGAGGATTTACAGGCAGTGTCAGCCTGATTTTTTTAATTCTTTAACCCTTGCAGGCTTTTCCTTAAATGCTTAATTTTCAATTATACTTTAACTTTTTTTTTAATAAAAATAATTTTTTTTTGGTTTTTAAATATCGTTTTTATTTATTAGTTCTTCTAAAAATTAAAAAAAAATGTCTGAAAAAGGTATAATTGCATATATTCTTCGCCAAAAAGTGTTGTTTTATTAAACTGAAACATTTTACTATTTTTACTAAATATAGAAACTCTAAAACAAATAGAGAATGCATTTAACATATTAATTTTCTAGTTACTGTACACATATTTTTTAAATGTTTAAAGTTGAACAATATACTTTATTATGTGTATTTTTTTTTTTTTTTTTTCAGAACTTCCTTTAGAAAATGCTGCACACTCGTAGTCACCACGAAGATGCCTTCACAATATGTATTCTAAAGTATCAACCAAAACAAGCCTTTAGAAAAAATTATTCCAACAACAAGATTTATAAATCAAAATGTTAATGTTGCCTATAAGCAACATCGGTCCTCAAGGGGTTAAAGCAGTACTTATGACAAAAAATAGTAGCAATGTGAGTTTAAATGTGAATTAAAAATATTGTCTACTTACATATGTACATAGGTTGCGGACTTTACGTGTCAGACATTACTCCTTTTGTCTTTCTTTAAGAAAATTGATCTTTTTAAAGCGCCATTGGCGTATTTTATTTAAGGATATGCAGTCATGAAAAAAATAATAGAGACACGATATTTTGACCAGTTTTGGCTATTTTTCTTTTGTTTGTTTAATGTTTATTATTATTTTTTTCAAAAATAAAGCTCTTTATCTAACAAAAACCATATAAATCCAAGGTTTGTAGAAAGATTCAACAAAATTTTACAA